TGAGCTAGTCACCAATCACAATAATTAATTTACCAGTAGCAAATTTCCATGCCGAAATTCGTGTACCCGAAGTCACTGAAGCTGCAGGTCGGCGTTTTTTTAACACCGTCTGTGCTGGGCCAGCGCTTCCTGCGACGACACAACGACCAGAAGTGTGTCGTTGCTCCGCGCGCGTCGTGTTCGATACGTGTATATGGGTTCCAATTGACGCACACGCACACGATGAGCGTATAATAGGGGCTCTCGAATCCCGAATACGTACATATGAACTTGAATACTAAAGCTGTCACAGTGACTGTTCACGAATAAATATGCAAATTAAACAAACCAGAGACATTCGATCTATAAAATAAATGTTTTTGTTTCTTTTAATCAAATACAATAGATAAAGTAAAATAGGATTATCATGGTGGTAGCCTACTCATGAATGCAAATAATCAGAATTTATTTATCTCCCAATAAATTGTACTTCAAGGCATTATAAGGATATACGTGATTTGCGTTAGAAAAGTGCAGTCCCTTCAATAATGCCAAAGCATTACATCACACATACCATTTCACTACAGTAACATTACTTTGCTCATTAACCTAGTTCCCGATAAAATTGTTCTTATTTGCGCTTTGGCTAAAATAGCGCTCCGCTGCCTTTTTACACTAGTGTTTATACACAGAACTTCATATTTTTTTTTACAACTTAAGTTAGTAATATTCATATTTCAGTGAAATATTGTTTAGTAATTGGCATATTAATACAATACATAATTAAATCTTTGAAACAGCAGAAATTAACAAATAAAAAGCCAATAAAATGTGTGTTTGAAGTTCAAAAGTTTCAACTTTTTTGAAGTAGATCGTCCTTTAACGCAATACAGCAGTGTAAACTGATTGTCAATTAAACAATTTTACGACCACCTTATTTCTACAAAAGTTTCATCTATCATTCAGTAAAACAATGACTGAATAAGCGAAATGCATATAATTTATAAATGGAAAATAAAACACATTATGCGTGTATTTTTTTTAGTCTACATACAAATGAAATTGCACTTAGCATCGCGTAGCGACAGTATGGTGTTGTTCGGCCTTACTGACAGGGTTTTCTTCAAATATTTCACGCTGTTATTATGGCTTACTTTATGAAAATTATAACTACTCAGTCTAGAGCGGAGGTACATATGATGATTTTTTTTCTCACTAAAAACAAACGCTTAGCAGTGCGGAAACAATTGACTGCCGAACCGCCGTTTTTATGAACAATTTATCTGTGAAAAAGTAGACCAACTGCACAAAATCAAACCACAGTGTAAAATCTGCTTTTTGTCTTTTTGTGAGAATTGTGACACATCTCGTGTTTGATTGTTACGAAGTGACGCGTGACTGAAATGCGGCCTCGTAAAATACTCTAACCCAGCCACAGATTGTTTATAGGAGGTGAGTTGAGCCTACACCTGTCAGACAAATAAATTATCCTGTGATTGGTCAAAGTGTTGAATACCTGGGTTGAATACTAGTCCAGCAACCAATGGGAAGGAAGTGCGTAGTTAAACACATTCGACAGACCATATATGGTGTCCCATAAATCCCTCTGGGGGATAATACGTGAATAATTAGTTCCCTAAATGACGATTCTTGTCATCGCATGCGGTAAGGTTGTTTCGCTTATTCCTCGGTGAATGAAAGTGTCTCAGTATCGGTGTCCTGCACAGAGAGCTACAGTAGCCTACATAATTAACTACGTATACTTCGTACAGCAGTATTCTTGCATCCACAAACTCTCTATTCCAGCAACCGTTCGTAACGTTCAAACATACGTATTGGATTGCCCCATAACAAATGTTTGGTAGAATTGCGACTTTTATTTCAACACGTACTGTACACATTTTTAAGGTGAGTTTATCTTTAGTCGTTCATATTAATTAAATCTAATCTGGTATTATTCTATAGTAACCCGAGCGGATAACTCTGAAGAAAGCAAACTCCGTATTAACACGCTATATGAATGAAATCACTCCACTCGCTGCGCAGGACTATAATAACAATGTTTCAACCCGTACCAAAAAATATTCCGGTACGACTGAACTTGCATTTTGTATGACCTTGTTGGAATGCATCAATTAATTATTTAACGTTTTTTTTATTCAAAATAAAAATAACGGTTTCTAACTGCCTGTATTCTGAGAATGGAACGTCCGTGGAATTAACTAGCTGTCACCGGTATCTGGACACGCCCAGTCAGACGCAGCAAAAAATATACCCCTTTTATTATAGTATTAAGGAAAAGTTGATTCGACGCCCATATTTGACAAACAATTGTTTCATTTGTACTTAGACAACCAATTATTAGTTATCTGAGATTTGATCCATTACTACCACCAAATACTTGTACCGAAAACTTGTCTAATAATTCACGTCATTCATTTTTTTATTCCTTCCTTTCTTCCAGACAAGGCGCAACATGTTCGCTACTATACCCGGAATGTGCTTATTTGGCGTGCCAGTGTGGGTAGCTGTTGGACTGCCATCATCAGAAGGACATACCAAGAAGCCGGATATTGACAGAGCAACTACAAACGACCAGGACACTTGCTAACAGTAAATGGACTCAAAGGATTTGGCGTGTTCGGCGATTTTGAAACATTGACCTAGTCAACATACAAACGTTATTCATTATATTCAAGTCTCACATTAACATCCAATGACAAGCGCAAGTTTACCCACACGACTTCCTTCATTTACTCATCGCACTTGATAGCTTGCTTGATATCCGAATTTCAGTTTATATCGACACGTGTCTTAGTGTATCAAAATCAGCGAGTCTGATTCTTAGTTGGGCATTATATACGCTTAAACGTTGGCTGGTTTTCCAACGGATTTTAGAAAGTCAAAACTACGCAGGCAGAGTTTTCATTGATGGAATTTTATAATGTAGAAAGTTGAGAAAAGTTTGCAAAGTGAGCTAAAACTAGTGCTCTCATTGAGTGAGAAACTCTCTTAATCATGATTGTTCGAATAATTTGAAAATAAATCGATGAATTGAATGTAGACAAATTATGTTGACTGACTAAATACTGCACATTTTGTGATTTTTTTTTTCTATTAATTTAAATTGCATGAAATAATAAAAATATGTTTTCAATTAATAATGTAGTGTAACGTTTTATTTTGTTTGTGAATTGAATAGATAACGCATGATAACTGGTAGAGGACCATGTGCATACCGTGACGTAATGCGATATAATACATTGAAATTGTTGGTGACTAGACTCGTCCCGGGGGGGGGGGTTGCATGACACGATTGGTTGAAATAATCGTTTAATTTGCATAAATTAATATTCATGAGTAATGAAAAACTCGTTTTTTCAGTAATATTGTGCCAAAATGCTTTGCGATAGCATACATGTTAGTTCTAAATTGACTTGATTCTATCGTTACGAGCTGAAAAAATAATCGGAAAAATGATGTAAATGTATTTTTTGAGTCGCGTTTTCGACCAGACTCCAGCTAACTGTTGAAAATAAGCATAGGTTTTCTTTTTACCATGATCATAGCAAGTTACGAATTCATGGAGAATGCAGAGGCACGTTTAAATTTCACTCTAGTACAATTGCTCAAATGTTTTCGTGACTTTTTTGA